GGCAAATGGGTAAAGGGGATCAAATGTGTTCTAGCAAAAGGAAACTAGACTTTTAGTGGTGAGCATGTAATAAATATCATGTTATAATGTTGTATGCCTAAAATTTATATAGTGTTATCAACCCATGTTATTTCAGTAAAACAAACAAAAAACATAATGGCCACTAAGTCAACTTCTCATACTTTGTGCATTCCCAACATGTCTTGGTCTTTTTCTGGTAACAGACCCAAGGAAACAGAGTAAGCATGGAACACAAGTTAGTCCAGTTCCCATCCTTCCCTGCAGGACTTGAGTCAAACTCTATCTGAGCCAGTAAGTATGCAAGGGAGGAGCATCCCCGAGCCAGGCCACCCAACATAAAGAAAAAACAGTCTGAACAAAAAAGCTGACACCCCCCAAAAGAGACAAGACAAAAGACCTATTAAACAGTGAAGGCTTCTAAGTCCCAGGATCTATTGGTCTCTGAGGCAAGTTTCATCCCAATCATTTCCAGGGTTTGGTTATATCAGCCAGTATATTCAGGTCTTTTGTTTTGTTTTGTTGTAGACTAATATGAGTATGTCACTTGCAGAGTCTCCATAGATCAATGACAGGTTCCTTGAGGAAGTCATGTCTTTATGAGTTTAGCTTTACTGCTTTTGCTCATCCCATTGCACTTAGCATAGGGTGAACCCTGAGAAGAATAGAAACTCAATCAATAGCTGTCAAAGTAATCATTCCTTAGTTTTCCATTAACATTCAGGAATATTATATAAGACACTGCAAGTACTAATAAAATTATTGTGTGCAGGCAATCATGAACAAGAGTCCAAAGAGATACTGTTTAGTTGAGTCACCTACTTTTCAGGAACAAAATGCACATATTTAATCATGTTGCAAATATATCCTTGTCATTAACAGGCCATTGCCCCTGTAGGCCATTCATCATTTGCTTTATACCTTCTTAGAGTGGAAAGTGCTTAATATAAATGTGTTCAGATGTTGATATTTTTCTTCCCATGTTAATGTACTGACAATTGTATAACAAATTATATTTATATGTATATAAGTATATACATATGTATTTTATATATATAATTAACACACACAAATACATACAGGTGTGTGTGTTGCTTTAACTACCTTCCTGGAAAGTTTATTTATTGCAGTTAGAAAACCTGGGTGTAAATAGAACCAAGTAGAAGTTTGCTCCACAGTCTCTTTAGTAGGCCCCTTTCCATGAATTCTGTGTGCAACTTGTTCATGAATATGGAAAGTATCTGAAGATTTTCTTTTAACTTGTCTTGATTTCCTTGAAGACTGGCACACAGCATGAGATTAAAATAACCTGGCCTTGCTGGCAACTTTGCCCACAAATACCAAGAAATAAATATTAGAATGATGGATTCTCTTTCCCTTGTCAACCATGAATGTGTTCCAGCCAAGGGCAAGGTCTAGAGAGTAATTCAAAAATAAACAAATAGAACCAAAGAGTAACTTTATTCTTTTATTCAAAACTTATTAAAATACAAGAACAAATTGTAAAAGCACACATACCACTCAGCACCAATTTAATAACACTCTACTGATAGTCTCCAAAGCATTTCTGTTTCTGCAACCAAGAAGCAGAGATACACACATGCATCCTCACCACATTTACCCAGTACTCATAGCATCGTGCCCCGAATATTCTCCTTGCTAGGAAGACAAAGATGGGCAGAAGCAAACCACTGTGACTACATCCAACCACTAACTGAGTCGATGACTCTTTCGTCAGTAGTTATCATTCGCACACTGGTAACCTCCACACATCATAGTCTCCCTCTTCGGGGGCCCGATTACTTGGGCTAGTGATGGAGTCTGGTGATAATGTGATGCAAAACTGAACAAAACTGGCCAACATTCCCTTCCCAATCTCTTCCCATTGCTTTGGTTATAAAACACTAGACACTTATGTTTTCACATCCTTCAACTCTAACACAGGTAAAAACCACACCCACCAATGGTGTGATCTGGAGAAGTTTTGAGAGAATTTTATTTATTTCCAACCCCTTCTGTGGGCTTCTTTCCTTTGTGTGTTTACTTGTTTGTTTTGGAGTGGTGGGGGGAGGGGAATTTTGAGCCAAAATAATGACTTCATTTAACATTTCCCAGGTCTTCAAAGTCTCCTCGGTACATATTAATTAAGCTCCCTGGGGCTCTGGTGCTACTGCCCAAGGAAGGCAGCAAGCCCCGACTTGCATGACCGGTCCTGTTCGGATATCTATACATGTTTGCTTTCTGTTGGTTCAGACTCACTGTGGAACAGAGCTGGGTCCCTTAAGTCTCATGCCTTGCTTCTGGTGTTATCCAGAATGTAAGGCATTAGGAACTGGCCTAATATTTGGCTCATCCTAAAGTCACTCAGTGACACTCAGCTCTCCTCCAGAGGTGTGAAGTTTCTTTGAGAACCTTCCCAAATTAGTAGACTAAGTAAGAAGAGCCAAGGTCTTCCCAGTCAGCAACTTCTCAACTCTCCCATGCCCTGCCTCCTTCTTTCCTCAAGGACTTCAGGACACCATCAAGAGAGTGCTGATCACCAAGCAGAGGTTGGTACTTATGCCCTGTTCTGAGCTTCAACATGAAGACTGGGTTTAGCTTCTATTTTTAAAATAAAGGAGGAAGTAGGGAGGAGATTTGAATATAATGAACACACTTTAGCTCTGATTTTTGGCAATATCATTTCTTTTACAAAAAAATCCCTCCTAGAATTAAAAGGCTCATTGTTAATCTCCACTGAGAGATACGACACTGGGAATGTTCTGAAAAGTTTTGAATGTAGGTAAAGGTTTTCATTAATCCTTCAGAAGTGGGTGTCCACATTTTTCTCTTTGCAATGGCCATGTGATTCTAACTGAGCTTATTTTCTAAACCATCAGTCAGAGGTCAGGTGGAATAAATGTCCAGGTTTATCTTTTAGGATTTACAGAATGGGAAGTCCTGTACATCAGTGCATTCCTCTTATTATGGACATAGCCCATAGGATATGCTGAGGCTACCCTGTATCCGGCTGGGAATTATCCCAAAGGCCTAGATATTGTCTTTCACCTGCCCCTCTAGTGTTTATGAGGGCAGGCAGTACCCACACATGACCTCACCATATTTCCTAATTTCCATTCAAGAGCCTAACTAGTTAAATACACTCGGGGGAAATGAAAGGCAGCAGTCTTTTCTCCTTGATCATAGAATAGGCATTTCCTGGTTAATGGCAGGATTTAACTAAATCAATATGCCATTTAGAAGTTGATATTACCAATAATCAGGGGTACATTCTATAAACAAGGTGAAGACACAGGACTGGAGATCCAAAACATAAATATAAAAAGTCAGACAAGTTAAATGACTGTCACTTTAGCTATACAAAGCAACAACAGAGGTTCCAATCTGCTTCTAAAGAGGTCCGTTATATTTTAATGTCTGTATCGAATATGTCTACATTACTGTACAGGCATTTAGTTCATGCCCATTTAAGAGAGTCATTATTGATTCCACTACTATTTTCAAATAAAATAAAATAAGGTAAGTTTTTAATAGTTCCAAGACAGAAGTCTTTCAAAGACTACACATTTGAGAGAATCCAGATGCTCTGATGATACTAAAATCACTTGGAAACTATTTAAATAACAGACGAGCTAACATATAGCTCCATGTAAACAGCAAGGGTAAAGATGCTTAGGTACTGAGAAAGACATCTCAAAGTTTTATATATAAAATTATAAATATGCATATATAAAATTTTTACCTTGTGAGAATAGAACTAGAATTCTTCAAAGGAACATACTTTATAAAAGACAGGACAAGAGGGGTGGGTACTGAGAATCTAATAATTTCTCTGAGCATATCAACTAAGCATCAATTCCCCTCTATCTCAAATAGTGAGTTTTTGTTAAATTCATAAAAGATACATCACAGGAAATCATAAAATTTCATGTTGAGATAAATAGGTTACATAATTACAGGCTTATCATAATTTTGATAACACTGAGCCATTCTATATATTATAGAATTCCTGAGCTTTGTCAATTTACTTTCTTCATTGGCCCCCAGCAGTCTTTCTTCCAGTGACTCTTCTATGTTCTATGGAACATATCTTTTTCCCTGATATTCAGCCTATGCCTTTATATGTCTACTTCCACTGCTTCATTTCTCCATTGGGTTATCCTCAGGGAGAGGAATTGCACACACACAACTTTCTCTTTCTTTAAAAATGTATCACAACTGGGTGACCCTTCATCCTTTTCCCCCAGACAACTAGCACTGCCTACCTTCGCCAGACCGCATCCCCCCACCAGCTTCTCCAACATCCTGTTCCATTGCTGTACATGTAGAACAAAGGGGAAGTTTACGGACAACAGTGCTGGTGTGCTGCAACCACCTGTTCTTTTATGTACCACGTACATCTTGACACCACTTTGAAAACAAACATCAGTGGGGCCCACTGATAAGCCTTGTGTTATAGAGCTTAACTATTTAACTTTCATATAATCTGGTCTCAAAGTGATTTTCCAGGAATTTGTTGGATAGCCGCCACATTTTCAAAATCTGCTTTGTTTCTCTGTGGGTGTGTTTGTTGAATTTAAAATGAGGTTTAAATGTTGCTGAAAAAAGTTAAAATGGTCCTTTAATATCTAAACAATAACATGGCTAGTGAGTGATATGATTACTATGTTGCTCCAAATTTAAAAAAAAATAGACTTCCGGTCTTTGCACACTCGGTTCCCACATTTTTTTCATTCCAGGCAACTAGTTTTGAAAGATATCTTCAACTTTAGATATCTTTTTCATTTTTTCTATTTTATGGTTCAATTATTGATGGAGTGGTCATAAGAACCTTTGACTGTACATATAAATATAATAATATACTGTTATTTGACAGCATCCTTAAATTTATAATAAAATTTATGATACAACATTTATTATATTTTGTATCATAATATGATACAAAATCTTTTGGAAATTATGATATTTAGATATTACTTATGTTACTTATAGGTAAAGCTATTGTGTCTTCATTTTTAAAGAGAAATATGGTATCTATATATTAAAATAGCTTTATATTAATGTACTATAGAGGCCTTAGATTATAGACCTCAACTAATATAAACAAAGGAAGAGCCAAGTCCAAATTCAAATGTCAATGGGAATTTCATTTTACAAAATTCCATGCTTGTGAAAATTGTCTTATAGAAAAGTCTCCACAATTACTGATGGGAATTATCTCAAACTAACTTTCTCTTCCTTTTACTTAGCAACTGAAGAAACCATGTTTGTCTGTACCAATCATTCATTATAGTTCACCTACTTTGAAAGGCAAACTGAAAGTTCCCACAGCAGCTGAAAGTTCCCACAACATCCGAGAATGAAATGGAATGGATACATATCTTGACCTGAGGAGCTCAGCATTGAGAAAACACTTCTATAGAGACTCAGATCGAGAATGAGTAGGGCCACATCAAAACTGTGGAAATGAAGAGGGACAGACCAGCACTCGTAAACCCACTGGTTTCACTTTTAGTCAGTATCATGGAGTATAATTCACCCATTAACAGGTGTATAATACATATCACAAACAGGTTTCAAAAAGTAATCACTTCTCAGAAAGAAACCTCAGAAATACAAATATTAGAGTGTGTTTTTTCCTTTCATCCCTCTTTCTCCTTCAGTCTAGGAGTGTATGATAAATACATTGATTTCCTATGTATATTCTCTATGCTACCTTTAGTTGAGCTTCTTCTTTTTCTGTGTATATTTCTGTGGGTAGGAAATTGGTGCCATTCTCAAGGTGAAACTCTATGAAGCCTTCTAATCCTTCTGCCTCATTTTTTCTAGCTAGTTGACTCGATTTCCTTTTAGAGCTTTTCTCACCTCTCAAAAGTTACCCTCAGGCTTCAGATGATCATGCTTACCCTCCAGCTAGGAATCATTCTTAATATTTACAAATACACCTGTGAGCTCTGGGACGTTCAGACTGACACTGAGCACAACACAGCTAGAACTAGAAAATCAGAAACTAACATGTTAAAGGCCAAGGTCCTAACCACATGGCCTGGGTTCAAGGCCTCCTTATAAGTAAACATTTAAGAATTTTCTTGTTGAGCTCTATCCATGCCAAATAAATCCTAGGCAATACCCCTTATACTGATAAGAACAGCAGTTTGCCTGACATGGTAGTTAGTCAGGTAAGTCTTTCCTTCAGGTCTCAAAACATCAGCTGCAGCAAACAGGGTTTCTTCCTCTCCATCTTGGGATATTTTCAATCAGAAGTCTCTTAAGTTTCTTTTTTTTTTTTTTTAAGAGAAGTGATGGGACTACTATTTAGCCAAATGCCATTTGAGTGGTGAAAGAAGTATTGCGATGTTAGAGGTTTACATTCTTCTCACATGTAAATTCCTGTCATTCAGCGAGGCAATGAGATTCAGTTGAAATAGTGGATTCAGTTCTTAGTTTCTTTTCCTTTACATATATATTTCTTTTTTTTGAAAAGCTCTGTTACAATCCTATCTTTAACTAGTTAATCTAGATTTCATCTCTGGTTGAAATTCTTTTCCAGCCAACGCCGGACTTCTTGAAGGTTGTAGTAAAAGGGACCCTTTCCTCCCAGGTAAGCAATTTTCTGTCTCTGCACAATACACACACGTTCGAAGGCTACCCCATAAGCTACATTGGCATTATTGTCCATGCGGTCAGCCACAACTCGGCACTGGGGCGGCAAGGAGAAACGCTCCAGAAGCTGGTGGGCTGCGGCGCATCGGTCTTCCTGGTTCCGATGCTTCTTCACCTCAAAAGACAAAGAAGAATCCCCAGGCACCGCCCAACCATCTGAAGGATGAGCCTCATCAATGTAGACCAACAGGAAGTCAGCTACAGATGAGAACTCCTCTACCAGTTTGCTGAAGGCTGGCAGCTGGTTAGTAAAAGGAGGTCAAGTGGCTGAGCCAAAGTTGACCACGAGTGGACGCTCAGGACTGGCAAAGTCAAGAAGATGGCACTCAGTTCCAACAATTTTCTTCTCTTGGGCACCATTTCCAATGTTGTCACTTCCTTCAGGATTGGAGAGTTGCACCACACTGGAATTGGGAGCATTTTCACCCAATTTCACCTGATTGTGAATAAAAGGAAGAAGGAGAGAATATCACATTAAACATGTAGTCACTTCAATTCACTCTATATAAAAACAATTAGCTCTAATAAAATGTGGTAAACATATGTTGATTTGAGCAAAGATGCATCATGGCAGGCAATGTAAAAAATGGCCCTAAAGAGAATAAAAGTCTGTTTCATTCTGTGTAGTCACTGAAGGTAATTATTTTTATCATTGACGCCACTGAAGTTAACTCTCTTCATAATTAAGTTGAGGCTGGTATTCTTCACTATCCTTACTTTGCTGTCAATGCTTAGTACACATTATATAACAAATGATTAATTGACTTCATTTAAAAAGTTAAATGGTCTACTTTAAGACAAATTATTAGAGTCATTGAACGAAGTACCTCTTTCTGAATTCCCACTTCCAAATTCTAAAGTATTCAGGAAAGACCTTTACTTTCTTGCATAATGTGAAGTCATTTAATTTCACTCAGTGGACAGTGATACCAGTGGGTTCTATTCCTGGCTAGAAAACATGGGGTCTACCAGTTATAAAAAGAGTGCATTCCACCTAACCTCTTCATAACTTCAACTTTCCATCTGTAAATGACAGTAATAATGCCTGTCTTCCTCATATGGTTATAGAAGGATATCATGAGAGAAATAGCTTTTTGTACATGAAAACTCACTGTGTAGTTGTAGGTTGCCATTATCAGATACCTCCCAAACATGTAAAACAAAATGCCACCTTTTCTGGGCAATTCTCTTTATATATATATTTTAAAATTATCCTTAGAAGTGATTTGAGCTCTTATCAGTAGGACACCCTCCCTGGATGCTTCTGTAGCTACTGCTTACTTTGGGTTTTTATGACCAGAACTTCATCATTTCACTAAACAAACAAATTAACAACTAAACACATAAAATTATTTTAGATTTATACTTTAAATTTCTCAGTTTTCATGTTCTTTATCTGTTTATTTCATCTTTTTACCTGGGAAGTCACAAAACATTTACTCCTCTATCATCCATTTTATTAACAAACTCCTCTGAATTATAAAATACTCAGGCAGAACAGATGCAAAAGAAAATTCTGGAAGAAATCCAAGATAGCAGAGGAGTAAGTGGAAGCTACACTAACCTTCTCCCAGGGCCAATCTGGAATTACAACTGAATTGTAGAGAAATCATTCAGAATAACCAGCTGAACACTAGCTGGACAGAAGCCTCATAATCAAGGACAGACAGAAGAAACCACTTCAGCACAATGTGACTGGCAGAGGAGGTGCCAGAGGGCTGGCTGGGCCACCATGGGCAGCAGCTGGAGTTTCAGAGAGATATTTCAGCAGCTGGAGGTTTCCCCCTGAGAAGTGTGGGGTCTAAACTCTAAGCTGGTCTCACCAGTCTACAGCACCAGAGCCAAAAAAGAACCCAGGAAACATCCAGCTGTGAAAAGCAGCAGGGGTTCTGTCTGCCAGGGAGAGATGGCTGGAGAGCCTCTTAAAGGGCCAATGCACAAAATTTTGTTTGCGGCCACTTACCCTGGGCTCTAGCAGAGGGAGAGCAGGGAAGGTGGATTAGGGATGCTTGAGGAGAGGTTGGGGCTGATGGCTTTGGGGAGAGAACTAGCAGTCAAGATCCCTGTGCTCAGTCATTCCCCATAAGGCAGGCGCCATCTCTCTCAGGCAGACTACTCCCCTCTGAGTAGCATCAGCCCGAGGGGCAGCAATAGCCCTGCCCACAGGAATTACTCTGCCCCTTCGCGTGGTACTTCAGGCAGACTGCTGATTACAATCTGATTAGATTAACAAACTGAGGCTTAGCAGCTGATTAGTTTAGCATCCAAAAAAGAAAATACAAAGAAGTGGCCAGAATGGGAAGATAAAGAAACAGAACCCAAATAAAAGAACAAGAGAATTCTCCAGAACAGCTAGATAAAATGGAGGCAAGCAATTTATCAGATAGAGAGTTTAGAGTAATGATTATAAGGATACTCACTAGCATGAAAAAAGACCTAGAAACCATAAAAAAGGATCAGTCAAAAAATAAAGAATGCCATATCTGAGATAAATAATACACTGGAAGGAATAAACAGAAAGTTAGCTGAAGCAGAGGATCAGATTAGTGTTTCTGAAACACAAGGTAGGAAAAAAAAAAAACACTCAGGCAGAGCACCAAGAAGAAAAAAGAATTTAAAAAAATGAAGAGAGCTTAAGAAACATTGTGGAAAACATGAAGCAGAATAACATCCACATCATGGGAATACCAGAAGAAAAAGAGAGCAAGCAAGAGACTGAAAACCTATTTGAAGAAATAATGACCCCTCTGAGGTCATTATTCCCTAATCCCCAAAACTTCCCTAATCTGGTGAAGGAAAAAGTACACAAGTCCAGGAAGCTCAGAGAGTCCAAAACAAGTTGGACTCAAAGAGGCCTATACTGAGATACATCATAATTACAGTGACAAGGCTTAAAGACAAGGAGAGAATCCTAAAAGCTGCAAGAGAAAAGCAGGTAGTTACCTACAAGGGAGCACCAATTAGACTGGCATCTGATTACTCAGCAGAAACATTTCAGTCCAGAAGGGAGTGGCAAGAAATATTCAAGGAAATGAAAAGCAAGGACCTATAACCAAGGCTATTTTACCCAGCAAGACTAACATTTAAAAAATGAAGGAGAAATAAGGAGCTACCCAGACAAGAAAAAGCTAGAGGAATTTCTTAACACCAAACCAGTACTGCAACAAACATTAAAGGGCTTGCTTTAAGAAGAAGAAAAAGAAACAGAAAAAAAGAGGAAAAACAATCTAACAATAAAATGGCATTGCATATGTATCTATCTATCGATAATCACTTTAAACATAAATGACTTAAATGCCCCATCCAAAAGACAGAGGATAGCTGAATGAATAAGAAAACAAGACCTATATATATTCTGCCTCCAAGAGACCCATCTCAGATTGAAAGATACACTCAGTCTAAAAGTAAAGGGTAGGAAAATGATACTTCATGAAAATGAAAAAAAAATCAAAAAACAAAATCTAGGATAGCAGTACCTATATCCAACAAAGTAGACTTTAAAACCAAGGCTATATAGTAAGAGACAAAGAAGGATACTACATAATGATAAAGGGAACTATCCAACAAGAGGATATGACCCTAGTAAACATTTCCGCATCCAACATAGGAGCACCTAAATATGTAAAGCAAATTTTGATGGACATAAAAGGAGACATTGACAGAAATATAGTCATAGTTGGGGATGTTAACACCCTATAGACTTCAGTGTATAGATCATACAGGCAGAAAATTAACAAGGAGACAGTGACCTTAAACAACATACTAGATCAAATGGATTTAATTGATATCGTCAGAACATTTCATACCAAAGCTGCAGAATATACATACTTTTCAAGTGCACATGGAATGTTTTCTAGAATAAACCACATGTTGGGACACAAAAACAAGTCTCAATAAATTTGAGAAGAGTGAAATCCTATCAAGCATCATCTCTGACCACAATGTTATGAAACTAGAAATTAATCAGAAGAAGAACACTAAAAAACACACAAAAACATGGAAGCTAAATAACATGTTATTAAGCAATGACTGGGTCAACAACAAGATCAAGGAAGAAATCAAAAGATACCTTGAAACAAATGAAAATGAGGATACAACAATCCAAAATCTGCGGGGTACTGGGATAGCAATCCTAAGAGGGAAATTCATAGCATTACAGGCTTATTTTAAAAACTAGAAAAATCTCAAATAAACAATCTAACTTCACACTTAAAGGAACTTGAAAAAGAACAACAAACAAAGCCTAAAGTAAGTAGAAGAAAGGAAATTAAAAAATCAGAGCAGAAATAGAATAGAAAAAATGAAATAGAGTCTAATAAAGGATACAAAACTCAATGAATCCAAGAGCTGGTTCTTTGATAAGATAAACAAGACTGACAAACCTTTAACCCTACACATCAAGAAAAAAAGAGAAAGGATCCATATAAATAAAATCAGAAATTAAAGAGAAGAAATAACAAGTGACACCAGAGAAATACAAAGATTGTAAAAAAATATTCTGAACAACTATATGCCAACCAACTGGACAACTTGGATGAAATGGATAAATTTTTAGAAAGGTACAATCGTCCAAAACTAAATCAGGAAGAATCATAGAATCTGAATAGACAGATTATACCTAGTGAAATTAAAGAAGTGATCAAAAAACTTCCAATGAAAAAATGCCCTGGACCAGATGGCTTCACAGGTGAATTTTGCCAAACAATCTGAGAAGAACTAACACCTCTCCTCAAACTATTTCATAAAATTGAGAGAAGGACAGCTCCCAAATTCATTTTTTTAATTCAAAAAAATAAAAATGGGTATGTTTTTTGACCCAAAGATCCCACTTCTGGGAATATATGCAAAGGGACCCAAAAAACTAATTCTAAAGAACATAAGCACCCCTGTATTCATTGCAGCATTATTTATAACCACCAAGATATGGAAACAGCTCAAGTGTTCATCAATAGATGAGTGGATAAAACAATTATGGGATATTGCACAATGGCATTCTACTTGGCCATAAAAAAAAAGAAAATTTTACCCTTTGCAGCAGTATGAATGAACATGGAGAACATTATGCTAAGTGAAATAAGCCAGTCAGAGAAAGACAAATACCATATGATTTCACTCATATGTGGAATCTAATGAGCAAACTGAACTAAAAAGCAAAACAGAGACAGACTCATAGATGAAGAACAGATGACAGCTAGTGTGGGGGTGGTTAGGGGGTGGAGGGATTGAGCAAAAAGGAAAAAGGAGTCATGGACATAGACAACGGGGTGGTGATTGCTGGGGGAAGGGTGGGTATAAGGGGACTAAATGGTAATGGAAAAAAATATAATAAAGATTAAATCAAAAGAGAAAAGAAAATTGCTCCATGAGCCCCTTTTTTACGTGGTTTAAATAGTTGAACACAGACTGAAGTTTTCTTGCCTTTGGATCTGTAAATTG